GTTTATCACCTTTTTTATAAAGTAGAGTTAACACTCCTTACCCAACTATCTCCCCCATGTTATTTGAATCCCACACTACCTGATAATAATCCATAAGGTCTTGGGAAATGAAGTCCCATAGAGCCTCCCAGAGTTCTTTAGGCAAACCATCTATTCCTGGGGTTTTGTCCTCCTCCATGAGCAGGAGGGCCGTCCATATTTCATCTTTAGACAAAGGCTGCTCCAAATGATCTCTCTGTTGAGGGGTCAGAGACTTAGAAAGCGGAGTAAGGAATTCCTCTACTTATTTGGTACGTTTATCCAGGGACATATCACTATTTCCTGATGAGAAGAGTTCCTTAAAAAAGTCTCGAGCAACTTTTATACACCCAAATGTAGTCGTTACAAGCAGTCCATTAAGAGACTTAGGGTGCGCTAGTGCTTCTATGATAGTTCTTCCCGAGCGGACTTTAGCCATGGCGAAGAATCGAGCATCCATGGCCCCTTCTGTGTGATATTTACACATTTCCCCCCGAATTCTCATACCCTGCCATCTGTATTCCATTTGAGAGAGTAAATGGGTCTCAAGTTCCTGCATTTCCCTTGCAGAGATTTCATAGGTTTCAAAGTAATTTTCATCTTCTAGTTGTTGTAACTCATGAATCTGCTGATAAACACGAGCTTCAACTGAGTGTCGTTCTTTTGCTAGCATCTTTGAATATTCATTACATTTTCGACTGAGAAACAATAGACCATTGTTGAACCATTGGATAACATTATTCATGGCGTTTTTTTTATTTCTCCAAAATGACCATACATCCATGACATAAGACTTGAATGCATCGATCTTGAGGTGGGTTGTGTTATGTTTGTAATAACTCCTTCCTTGATCAGGCTTTTTACCAAAGGAAAGGACAGCCACACACATTGCATGGCCCAAACCTTGGAGGGGACTTCGCCCTCCAGTGCTTCAGAGAGGAGAATGAGGTCTATTCTAGACTTGGTTGAGGTTCCTAGCCTGATTCTTCCGAAAACAAGTATAGGAACGCTGGGTCGGATTAATACGTCTAAAAGAATAAAAAATATTCAAAGTATGACAAAAGTTGGTCATCAAGTTTTCGTCCGATTCCAAATAAGTAGGGCAAGGGTTTGGAATATTCCTTTTATCAAGCGACCTATCAGGGGCAGCATTGAAATCTCCTGCTATTATGACTGGGATCCCAACAGGGAGAAGAGGAGGAAGGGACTCAAAAAAAACGTTGGCGCTCCCCTACTTCGTTGGGACCATATACACAAAGGATGCTAATAAGTTCTAATTCTAACATCGCTATCATTAAAACCCATCTACCTTCCTCTTTATCTATATCCCAATAGACTGGTTCCACCTTGGAATTGGGGGGGATCCAGATGGGGACTCCCGCGCTTCTTGGTCTAGGTGCGTGAGCCCGAAAAGCGGTAAAGGGTCACATCTGATTATGACAATAGGTATGTTGAGCAAAATCCGTTAGGTGGGTTTCTTGAATACATATTACATCGGGCAAGTCCTTCCCTCCAATTCCTCTCAATTGATCGTAAAATGCTTGCGTTTCTTGAAACTTAGCTGATGCTAGACCATTAACGTTTAGTGATCTAATGTCAAGATCCGCATTCCTTCTGAGGAGCTGCAAGACCTGTCCTTGTTATAGAGAGCATTAATCGTTTTTGAGTAATCCATTCAAAACCACGAAACAGTCCAGCAAGTGATTGAGAACTCTAACTAGGAAGAGGAAAAAAAATCTAGCCATTGCCCACTTTCGCTACCTCCCCCCATCAAGCTCTTATGCGCTAACAATCTGATTAGCAGTGTCCCCACATCGGTTTCAGACCAGAACTCACTTGCCTTAACCTTGAGGAGTTGCAACTCGCACAGAGCCTCATGACTGAACCATTTTAAATCCAGGTTCTTACTATGATCATATTTTACATAAACATCACCTTCAGCCAACCTATTTTCTCCACTGGTGACTGAAAGTAAGGCCTTGCCCCCTTGTGGGAAGTAATCCTTGGCAAAGTTAAGTAAAACTTCCTCACCACAGGAAGCAGAGGGAGGAGTCAACAGAATAACAAAAAAAATAAAAGAAGCGGATCACCCCTTTTTATTGTCCCTAGCAACGAAATGCTGATAGGCTTCGCAAAATTTCGATTTTCAGGAACCAACTTTTTGCGAAGTAGGGTGGAGATTCGATTTTCAGAAAAGGATAAATAACGTTTCCCCGAATATGACAACCTCCATCGTAACCCTAATATGCCTAGAGAACGAGATGCTCGCGTCAGAAATTTTCGGATGCTAGTATTAAAAAAAACGAAATGCTACTATCAGAAATTTTCGGATATTTGTTTCGTAAAAAAAAACGAAGTGCAAATATCGGAACTTTTCCAGATAAAACGAAATGTTATTATCAGAAATTTTCGGATATTCGTTGCGTGAAAACGAAATGCAAGTATATATCAGAAATTTTCAGATAAAACGAAATGCTAATATCCGAGATTGCGAAAAAAAAAAAAAGAAGAAAGGAAAAAAAATATATCCGAGATTGACGAAACCCTACTTGATTTACTAATCAATCAATCAATCAATCAATCAATCAATCAATTGATTGCAATCAATCAGTAGATCAAGCAAGCTGACTACTTGATGGGGCGGATCTTGATGAAAAAGGTCCGCTCCGAAACCAAACTGTTGATACCACAATGGTGCAGACCAGACCAAGAACCGACCTTTCTCGCCAGATACAAAATTGCACAACAGAAGGCTTAAATACCAATGATCCGATCAATCAAGCTGCCATGCAGACCAAACATGCATCATCATCATTCCACGGTGTGAAGGGGGCTGACGCTCACACWGGMAGAATGCGTCAGTCCYTGATCRTACACAGRYGAAGAAGAGGGGGATGAGAYGAAGGAGAGGGGGAAGATGGAAATGTCGTCAACACCAAGTCTTCGATACAGTCCCAAATAATCCCTCGCCAAAGGTCTGAATCCCGATGTTGAGTCTGAAGACTCTGAACCCAAATGTCGTCAAATCCCAATGTCGCCCATCTCTCTCTCTCTCTCTCTCTCTCTCTCTCTCTCTCTCTCGCGCGCGCGCGCTCGCTCGCTCGCTTGCTCTTAGCCGGTAGATACAGAGAAGTCAGGAGGGGCGAGAGGGTGAAGTAAAGATGGTGGACTTAGAGGAGGAAGAAGAAGAACTCAATCTCTCTCTCTCTCTCTCTCTCTCTCTCTCTCTCTCTCTCTCTCTCTCTCTCTCTCTCTCTCTCTCTCTNCTCTCTCTCTCTCTCTCTCTCTCTCTCTCTCTCTCTCTCTCTCTCTCTCTCTCTCTCTCTCTCTCTCTCTCTCTCTGTGTGTGTGTGTGTGTCCGATACTAACCTGTGAAGGTGGCGCTTTGCTGCAGGTACCTCGAAGACGAAGCTGGAGCTATGGCGCCACAGGTGAGTATCCCTGGCCTCCACCAACCATCTCTCTCTCTCTCTCCTACTAGTGCCCAGCGCTGAAGACTACTGCTATCGCTACTACTACTCCAGAGTGTCGCTGCCGAGTCCTGAAGACTGCCTCCTGCCCTCTGCACGTGAAGTGCCTGGGAACTGCCTGCGGCCTACAGGGCAAGTCAGCATTATATAGTGCTGGCCCGTCCGAGAGGCTGCTCGTGCTTATGCCAAAACGTGCCAGACCCTGGGGTTGATGCTCCACAAAAAAGGCCATGATGGCCTGAGCTAAACCCCGGTCTGGTGCCTGAGTTTCAGGGTAGGTCGATCTTGCGAGGGCCTGAAAAATGGCCCGTCGTTTTCAGGCTGGAGGCCGAAACGACACAGGGCCTGAAACATGCCCTACCCCTACGGACCCTTAGTCTACCAGGTCGGGCTCTGCTGGGTCCGTGTGGTACGGAGTATGCCACAGAGAGAGGTTGGGCGGAGGCCAGGGAGACTAACCTGCAGCGCCATAGCTCCAGCTTCGTCTTCGAGGTACCTGCAGCACAGCGCCATCTTCACAGGTTAGTACCTGGCACATGAGAGAGAGGGAGAGTTCTTCTTCTTCCTCTTCTCAGTCCACGATCTCCGTCTCACCCTCTCGCTATCTGACCTTGCTGCATCAGCAGACTATGAGAGAGCGGGCTTGGTGACATTTGGATCCAGACTCGACATTGGACTTCAGACATTTTGACGAGGGATTATTTGGGACTTGTAACGAAGACTTGGTGTTGACGCCCCCTCTTCCTCGTCTGTTTCCCTCCTCTTCCTCTGTGCATGATTGGGACCTGGCACATTCTTCCTATGCGTAGCGCCAGGCTCCCTTCACACCTTGTGATGAAGAATGATGTATGTTTAGTCTGCATCGCCACATCGATTGGGTTCATCAGTGGTATTCTAGCATTCTGCTGCACTATCTTGTACTACATGAAGGAGGTCAGTTTCGGTCAGGTCAGGACTTGTATCTAAGTCTTCCCCTGCGCTATAAAGCACCATCGTTGTATGTATCAGAATGTACACTGCTTGTTGAGATTCTACTTGCACTGCATTGTCCATTCAGTCCTTTTTATCACATTGCGGATCCTTGGTTTTATATGTACATCGCCCAACTGGGCATGTAACATGTAGCCAGGCCAAGCTGACAAGGTCCATGACGCACAGCCCCACTATGCCAGCAAGGTCCATGACGCCAACCTTTGGGTGGCCCACAGCTAAGCTCAAGCCAAACCCAAGTCATGGGAGGATGGGCTACATACCTTTTGCAGATGACTTCAACCTCATTGTATTATAGACTTAGACAGCACTTTCTTGCCATTGAGTGTTTACAATCTTGTGTCATTACAACATATAACTTATGGAGCACAGTAGGTTTGTACCTCATTGAACAGATTATTATACACATTGTCTTTTCAACTCGTTTTTCATTGTTAGAGACATGACGTGATCTGGGAAGGTACTGGTCATTGAGTACCTACCATCTTGCTTTGGATCATTTTGTCTATTCGATGCTAGGACCGTTGCCTTCCATTCGTCATACGATTCCTTTGCAAGACTCCTCTTGGATCTCTTCACATCAGGCACCTGACAAGAAAGGAAACCAGCAGAGTAGAGACCAGACTGATCAATATCCCTGCAGAGGAGAGGCTGCACAGCAGAAATATGCAGTAGGTGATGATAACCCATCTGAAGTGATGAATGGTAGTTTCATAAATACATAAATCATAAAGCAGATGGATAGAGAGAAGGGACATGTGGATGATGCCACACAGTCAAAAGATGAGAAAAACAGACAGGCATATCCAGTATAACTTCACTTGCATCCGGGCCGCTAGATGTAAATTTGATGCAAGAATGTCGCGAATAATAGGAGTGAAGCCCATGCTTTCCAATTCACCATCTGACACTTTGACCAATTACAATATATTCACCAAAATCTGGGTGGTGTTCTTTTCCTGGCCGATTTCAAAGTACACATTCATCAGAAAGTACAATGTCGTCCAATTGCAAAAAGAAATGAATGAACTAGAGAGAAGAGAGAGGGAAAGAAGAAGAAGAAGAAGAAGAAGAAGAAGAAGAAGAAAGAACGACCAAGAAGATGTACACCAGCATAGACCAATGGTAATGCTCTCTTTCTTCGCCAACCACTCTTCTCCTCCTTATCTCCTCCCCTCTTATTCAATCAAGAAATAATAATAATAATAATAATGTTGAATGGCTGAACCAGAATCAATGTCGAATCCCTCTTCTACTGCAGGTATCATATGAGGTCCACCATAGCCATGGCACCCTTCTCCTTCCTCTTCTCAAAGGCCTAGGCTATGGCGGACTGCTAGGGCCTTGCCCGGATGTGCAGAACACAACTCAAGCAGCTATGGCTGCTCTAGCTCAGGCCGCCATGCCTGACTCTGCCTCGAAGCTTCTTGGTGTAGCTCTACCCCTGTTGGGACCTTCTTGCTGCAGCGCCGACCAATGTGATGAAGATGGCAACCACCATAGCCACGTAAGTACCTCTGGCACTCCCCCATCCTAGTCCTGGTCTTCTTCCTCCTCCTATCCTTGCTCCTTCCCCAGCCGAGCTGCTCCAAGCTAGCGCTGGTCCAGCCAGCGCTTCAACCAGTGTGTCGCCAAACTTGCAAGCCAGCCTCCTTGCATCTTGGCGAGTGACTTCCTAGGCTGCGCAACCTCCAAGCAACCGGTACCTCCTCACTTTCGGAGGGAAACATCATTGCAGACTCTGATATTTCCCTATACAGGCCCTTGACTCAAACGGGTTGGACTGGTACCCGCCTAGACCTAGCCTGCAACTACCGGGCCTCTAAAAATGCCAACTTTTGTCTTCTTCCGCTCGACCTCGAGTACCCAAATCCTGCTATACCCATAAGGGCACATCTACCTCTACTTGGTGTGGTACCAGTGTAAGGCCCCACCCTGTTAGACTTTCGAGCCTGAGTCGACCCCTTCATCGAGTCCCAGTTGGCTCGGCTCCGCCCACACTCATGCCCAGGGCACGGAGCCATTAGTCACAACGTCACCCCCACCTAGTGCTTTGAGATGGATGGGGGTGGGCCAACCAGCGAGAAAGCTTTGACATTGGGGATGTAGTTCAGCCCTCGCACTAGGTGGGTAGTCTCGCTAATCCTTCGCAACCATCCATTCTTCTATACCTCGTTGTGTTCTCAAACAATTGCTCTTTCCAATACTCATACAGTTCAGGGATTCTTTGAAAGTTCATCTTCCTTCATGGGTAGGCCAAGCGTCCCCCTTGGGCGACGCATCCATTCACTAGGTGCAGAGTCTAACGGCTTCATCGAGGTAGAGGGCCGCCCCTCGGCTTAGGCCTGTTGATTAAGTCAGGTCGGCCCCAGTCGCCTCACTAAGGTGCCCTCTGCTCGGGCCTCTAGCCAGTCTACGTGCTTGCTTCCTCTATCTTCATGCGTCAATCATGTTTCACATGTCGCATCTCATTGCTAGTCTATACACCCCATACTCCTTTCGGGGCCCCACCCATACTTTCACGCGATTCGGTGGCCCTTTCGACCATCCGTCGCTCCCGTAGAAATCCAACCATTCACACCACATTTCTTTTCGAAAGGTGGAAAGACATGCAAAATAAAGCCCATTCATAGGTGAGGTTTACATTCGCAACCAATTCAACTTCTGTCCTTTTCGCCGCCCGGCCTCACCGGGCGTTATCCCGCTCAAGACATCTTAGGTGGCTACTCACCTACACACTCAATGCAATATAGGAAGAAGCACAACCCCAATTCGGGGTCAACACATAATCCCTTTATCTTTCTCCTTTGGTTCCTTCCTTCTATATTCTCTTCCATTGTTCAAACCATCATCTTCTCATTCACATGCAGTCCACTTTCTTCCACTCAGCGAGTCTTTTAAAGCCTCGGAACTTGTCAATCCTCAAGTCCCTATGACTCCTCAAGTACTTTGTGCTCACAAGTCTTTCCAATCCTCAAACACTTTTCCTTCTTGGTGACGCAAGGAACCGGCAACCCTCCGCCTTGCCCTCTCTATCCACCAAGTGAGGCCAAAGTTCTTTCACCATTCGTCCCCTGGCAATGTGACAAGTGAGTGGGGAGGGGTTAGTCGCAGAAGGGTTAAAATTAGACTTGAGAGGGGAAGATGAGGGGGAGTCGGCGACAGAGAGAGCGAGAGAGAGAGAGAGAGA